ACTGTGTAAAACTTTTATGTCTTTTTATGAAAACAAGAGCACCCCGTTCACCTTCAAAACTTCGTATTCACCAGTATATCTATAACTTTAAGTCAAGTGTGATCAAATATATGAGATTTCACTTTAATTCTGGAACGTTCTTTATACCTGTAAGTGTTCTAACAGTCCCCATCGAACATTCTGATTTTGACTGTACCAATGTCGACAATTTTGCAAGGTATATTATTTTCTATAATCATTGCACCTTTCAAAACTCTTTCATGAGTTGAAAATCAATCCCTATTGGAACACATATGAAAAGTACATGCTTAATCAAGAACCCATTGCTCACAGGCTTGGAAACTATGTCAGAAATCACAAGAAACTCTCATTCACTTTACTGATCTTCCACAACATCAACCTGCGCTATGTTTTCTTGTTGCTTTCCTTTATCAGCAGCACTAACAGCCTTGTTTCTATTTTTCAAAGCATAACAATCAACTCTAGTATGCCACTTCTTTTTACAAAAGTGATATGTTTTCTCTACATGTCTGGATTTCTATCTTCCTCTCGTATTTCTATATTAATTTCTCCCACGAACAACCAGGCCTTTAGCCTCACTCCCAGTTCCGCTTGCAATATGCGTAATCTTCTCCTTAAACAAAAAGGTATCATAGACCTTATTGATAGTGAAAGTACCCCGACTGTAAAGAATAGTATCTCTAAAAATTACCTATAATGGCTATAACGAATATAATAACATCAACGTCAGGTCCTCCTCATCACACCTATCTTCCAATGTCTACAAATCAATCACTATTTCCTTGAACATAGTTTAGTGATCATCTAATAGCGTAGCTTCGGACATCCGGTGAGAATACAAGTGTTGCTTCAAATGTAACTTATTTATTAAGCCATTTCTCATACAAAACTACTCCAATTTCAACAACAGTGCAGCTATACTTTTCTCCTTTAGAACATCCTAAAAAATTTAATTTGATAGATATAGATGAATGAAATTGGGCCTTTCAATTTCTACGCTACTTTTCATCCCGCTTCAAGTTTGACTGCATCTTATCAAAGCCAAACAATGCATTTTCCAAATCCATTTGTGCGAAAACTTCTCGCATCCTCATTTTCCATAAAGTAAATCTCGTGTTTCGATCCAATAATGAAATATTATATTTTATCGTTGTCATGCAGAATAATCAACCTAACTTTGATACCACCTATTATGAGGTAAGATAATGATAATAATGAAATAAACAAGAATACAACAAGAGCATCAAGATTTATGTAGAAATCTAAGATGGAAAAAATCATAGGTAGAGGATGATAATTTCACTATAATAAATAGTAATTGTGTTTACAATAAAATCTCAACACTCTCAATTAAGATATGAAGTTCTCAAGATGTTATGACCTCAATACAAGTTGTGGAAAATATATATATAAACCCTAAAATCCAAGTTGTAGATGAATAGAAGTCCACAAAACTCGTTACAACATGAAACGAGCCCAAACCAGATAGCTGAGCAACAGGCGAGCCACAAATGGAAGCCAAGTCTCCATTGAAGCTTTGATGATGCCGCTCGAGCACCAAGCTAGCAATAGTGTGACAACTTTTTTTCTAATCTATAATTTGATTTCTTCAAAAACACTTTAACCAAAACTTCAATACGCACTAGAATTTGGGTTAAACTACCCCATAAGCGATGAACACTAGTGGTGGTAAAGTAATGTTTCATCTCTAACACATGATTGCATCCCATGAATCCGACCTTCTATTTTGACTATCTGTATTGGGCCTTTAGTTGTGACTGCTATAGGTTGCAACATACCTATGTCTATGCTTGCATCTACCCTTCATGTGGGTTGTAAGACCACACAACTGTCTTTCCTTCTGCACCTTAGGCCCCATGCCTTTGCAGCACTTAGCCATCATGTATGAAGTTGCTTCGATGAATACACATCTTTAGAAAACTACACATAGAATTCGGCAAACAATATCTAATTAATTGTCATCCCACTCATAAAAATCTTTACTCCTTCAATTTTAATAAACATATTTAATTATGTTTCAACGATTCATACTAAAATTAATTCTACATGTGCATCATCGAGAAATTGGAAATTTCACTATTTGTATACAAGAACTCTTTTTTTTTTTTTTTTTTTTTTTTTTTTTTTTTTTTTTTTTTTTTTTTTTTTTTTTTTTTTTTTTTTTTTTTTTTTTTTTTTTTTTTTTTTTGCGTATTTGATATTTACGAGATAAAAAAGAACATATATTTTAAAGATACTTATTCCGTACAACTATTAATCAAACTCAATCGAATAAACATATGAGTTTCTGCTTATATTTAGCTCATTTTATAAAGTATTTATAACTTTCAATCAACTTTTTATCCATACATTTCAAGAACTTATAAATACTACTCACTTATTCACCCTTCATTCTTATATTTTTATATAACTTGAATTAAAAGCATAATATAGGAAATATTGATTTACAAAATTTTGGGCCTGTTGCTAAACCAAGTTTGATTATGGACTCACTATGCCCAATTAGCTGAGGCGGGCTTATTAATTGTATAGGCCACTAAATAAGGGTGCTGCAGCCGAAACATACCTAGTGTGGCACTAGCACATCCAAAATAGATATTAAGACTTGCGATTTTATCTTAAAAATCAATCTTATTAAGATGAATGATCCAAATATTTATATGTAGGTTATATTTCGATCTTTATTCAATGTAAAATTTTACCAAGCATAGCAAGAATAGGGTTGGTGCACAAGCCACAGTAAGTAGTCCATGTAAGGTTAGGTCGAAAGCTAGTTCTTTCGTCTGATCCCGCTCTTAAGGGTACCAACGCTTACGTGAGGGGAAGAAACTCGTTCAACCAATCAACCTCCTCCAGCCCTGCATTAATGCAATTCGAGAAGAACGACGGAGTGCTCTATTCTGGGCCTTGGCCCAAGCAGGTTTGGGCCCACGAAGTTCCACACATTCTACAAAATGTTTGCCTGAAAATCGGCCATGTAGACTCCATGCAGCTACTGGTCCCAATGGGTTTTAAGGATTGATTTCAAGGAGGTTATGCTTGTTGACGGCAAAATGCCTCTTCCTTTTCCATTTTTTTCTTTTCTTTCTTTTTCTTTCCTTTTCCTTTTTTTTTTTTTTTTTTTTTTTTTTTTAACCAATCGAACATGCAAGAAGTATTTTATGTTAGAAATGGTATGTAAAACTTTTATTGAAAATGCTAATTTTACGAAGTATATATATATATACACACACACTTAGGGGCAGAACTATGAAGGGACGAGTGGGTGCCGTTGCCCCCATTCGATTTTCAAATGCGACTTTTTTAATTCAAATTTTCAGATTATTATTATTTTTATATTTTTTGGTTTCTTTCGCAATTTATTTTAAATAATTTTTTGCGTAATTGTGTCTCGCCCCCACTAAACCATAATCCTGGATCTGCCACAGTTTAGACGAGGTGATATAAAGACTTCGGGTCATTTTGTTATGTGATCGGGGATGGAGCTTAATTCTCAGATGAGGCGATTCAATGTATTTGCCTCTTTCCATATCAAATCTATAGAATTAGGCAAAATATAAGTATAATCTGCTGTACAAAAACAACACCACTTGATACCAAACTCAAAAGGGGTAACATGGTGGACCAGCAGTAATCCTTGCCCTTAATTAAAGTTGTCACATACACTGAAGTATGCACACACGAAAAGATTTAATGACCAGTTTCTCCCCAGGATCCAATCCTACGCTAGACAATCCAATTAAGGTAGTGTTCGTGATTTATATAGACAATATCGCGTCAAACACTTAACGCTTCTTAAACATTCTATGGTACGGGTCCAACAAGCCACACAACATGTTCTATTTTTAACATATTTTCTAAATTTTTAACACTCGAGGGATACTTCAAGGACATTCCTCAAACAAGTGTTTGATATTAGAAAGTGTAAAAATAAAAATATAATATATGAATTTAAATCGACGTGTTCCCTTACTTATTCGTGGCCCTGCTTTTCAAAATCACTTCTCCCCATATCCATGTCATGTCCATATCTTATATCCATGTCCAACAACTTTGATGCAATCACTGGAACTCGAGATTCAAGGTCAATTTAAGTAATTTTGATAAAATTTAGAGCTAAATCTTGAGGTAGAGTGACTACCAGTGAATTTAAAACTTTATTTTGCAAATATTTCCCTCCCTCTTTTACCAATAGCTTTTCCTTTGGGTCATGATTTCATATGTCCTCCACGGTTCCACCACAAACCCTTAAATTAACAGCATTTTCAGAGCCTTCTTCCTCTGACAGCATACCTTAATTCACACATCTCGCATCGAGAGAGATGCAGAAATGTATTAGAGAAGCTTCATGTCTAGCTGGAGAAAAGCGCGAATTTTTGTGCCTCAACAACAAAGTAAGCCTTCTTCCCAAAAAAAACTTGGAATCAGGCAACATAAATTCTTTTTACAAGACAATACCAACTCCATACAGTAGTATTACCTTTGCATCCCATGTGGAGCCATCATTTGCAGGATCATGCTCCTGAGCATGGACGGATTGGGCTAGGTAGGTCTTTTATCGTCCTTTTTTCTTCTCATCAGAGTTATTTTACTAAAACTTGCCATGGTAAGTAAAGCTTTGGTTTCTTAAGGAGTGAAGCAAGTAATCATACTTGCCCAGTATCTTCTACTCCATTTGATTAATGTAAAGAACCAAAGTCATTAGAAACTACAATGAGTTCATGTTAGTTTCGATCGAACCCTCCATCCTCTAACTTGTTCTACAAGATTCCAGAAGTCTATGAATTATTTTTCCTCGCATAACGAAAAACATTTCAGGCTGCATGTTTATTGTTTATTTGTGGAGCTTCTCATTCTATTCAAGCTTTTCCCTATGCATATGAACTTGTGCTTTCAGATTTCTTCAATTTTTCAGAAATGTGAAAGTCAGACGAGTAAAAGAATAGACAAAGAAGATGTGTCTGCAAACATAACTGTATCGCATTATTCACTCCAATATGTATAAATTTCATACAGACGATGAAAAAGAAAAATATTAGAACAACATAGAAACTTATAGAGTACTCTGCACGCCTATAAATTATAATACAGTAGTATTGGCTAGATACCATTCTATTCTCACACTCTGAATGACTAAAGTATTGTAGTATAGGTTATGTATAGTTTGGCCTTTCGAGCCTTTATCAGAACAACAGATAGCCATATCCGAGTTCCATGGCACACAAAACAAAAGAATTAGAGGCTATAATAAATCTCACTAGAATCGAAGTGAGTTCTAAGGGAGAAAACTTCAGAAGGGGAAGAAGAACTAGAATGCTCCATAGCATCCTAGATAGGGAATCATATCTTCAAAGGCCTATTTTTAAAAACTCAGGTCGATTGGTGACTCCAAATTCCACAGATTATGCCTGTAAGGTTGATCGGTGAGATTAGTCAGAGGCAATGGAAGAGGGACCTTTTGCAGGGTAGAGGTTTTGAAGGATTGGTGGATGGACTCGGGGATGTCGAATCTATTCCAAGTGTTTTCATCAGGAAGTGCTTCTCCTGCAGCAATAAATTGAATGGACATTAATATACGTACAAGAAAATAATAAAGTGATTTTATACAAAAATAATTGTCTCATGACTACGTATCTATTATGAACTCCGTGAAATCACAGTTCGTTTAGGATTTCTATGATATTCATGGGGAAAAATTAGTTACAGATCATAATAATTTGTATTAGCCAAACCATTTCCAGTAAAATGATTTCTTGATCTATGTTGATCACTGCAAAATAATTCTACCAAAGATTTCCTAATTTATGTTGATGTATCTTTCTTGCTAACTTTACGATTTCTTCTTGTAAGCATGACTAAGAAGGATTCATAGATCACTAGCCTATATAATCAATCAAGGAAAAATCGCCTATGCTTCTCTGGTCACTTTCTTCCAATTATAATTATGCTTGGTATTCTAGCTTGGGGTGAAAATGTGGATACTAACAGAAATTTATCAAGGCCACCGGCCTCCAAATTTTCTAGCATGGACCTCTAATCACGAGTGGATGGCTTGATAATCCAGACTTGAGTCTCCTTATTGACCGATTGATAACAATGAGGCAAATTATCCTATTACTACAAATATTATTAATATAAAGCGTCCTATAAGTAGCATTCCCACTAGTAGTTTAATATCATTAGACGTTTAGGATCACTTTTGATACTTATGTACTTGGTCTTATTCCTAAATAAAGAGTAAGATTAGATTTCTTACACTTTCTGAAAACTTTGGGCTGGGAATTGCTGCTGCCAGTGATCTGAACAATGGAGTCACTTGAACAGGGGAACTGAATTTTGTGTTAGAATATTCATTGGCAACTCTATCATCAGCTTTCATTTCATCACAAGTTGACAAATTTTCCACTGCACTCGATTTAGAAATATCATCAGCTTAAAATAAGATGAAATAGTGGCATATAACCCTTCTTCCTAGTAAATATAAGTATACCTTCCTTCATGTTTGCATTACAGCATTTCCTGTTTCCCTCAGCAAGACAGTGTGAATCACCCAATTGATCTATTTGTGACTCAGGACCAGTTTCCTGATTTGCACACAAGTCAGCTAGACACAGTTCTGTTTTCTCACCAGTTGCTCGGGATGGCAGAGTCGACCTTGTACTACATTCAGAGCTGGAAGGAGACTCCTCATACGGATCAGTTTGCCTGCACAACTTTAATTAGATATCTAGACGAGAATAAAACTTTCTGCTCTTTTTGGTAACATGGACTGAACAGTGTTGGATATTATATAGGAAGAAAAAGAAATTAGAATCTTATCCATCGTGTACTGTCCAGTTTTCATACTGACATGCCATTCTAGTCATATAAACGTGGTTGCCTTGTAAATTACCTCAATGGTCTACTGCCTTCATTACTACTCCTTAAATCCTCTAGCAACTCCTTGAAATTCTCAAGTTGAAAATCAGTATCATCGAAGCAGAATCTCATCGGATCACGCTCTTTGTTTTGTTTAAGAAAATCTTGGAGAATCTGAAAAACAATCATGAGGTGAAGTCAGAAAAATACAAATTGAAATTATTGTTAGCATTATTACAGTAGGCCGAACTTGCACTTTTGCCTGTCCAATATTCATTTTTGAGATTGTAATTAAACTTGACATTTTATTAAGTTTCCATAATATTTTACTAGTAAAAACTAAAATCTAGTTATCTGTAT